GAGGGCTTGGGGCTCAGGGGGGTGCCAGCTGCTCAGCCACCCCCGCCCAGAGTGCGCCTCCCTCAAGGAAGGGTGTGGGAACTTAGAAGGTACCAGTTCACACGCTGCCACCCTCTGGGGTATTCCTCCTGCAGAGGGAGCTGGTGCCCGTGCTGACACACACTGAAGTGCCCCATCTCCCTTGGGCTGGGCCTAGGAACCAAGGAGGGGGGGTGGCATTTCCTATGCCCGCAGCCGTGCAGCGACTGTACAGGAGGATTTAGGCCAGAATCGGGCTCTGGGCATTCTTGGGGGCCTGGATGGCGACGCGGCCCACCTGGGGAGCATGCAGGGTCACTGGCGCTGTGGCCGCTCTGCCCCTGCGACAATCCAGCCATATCCAAAGCCTCGTCCGGACAGGAAATTGGCTGAAACAGCCGCCCCAGGTGGGCGCGCTCTTATGCGGGAAATGGAACTTGGTCCTGAGACAATTGCTCTGCCCCCAAAGCCACACCCTGGCAGCAGGCCCAGACGCCATCCGCTCTGCCAGGCTGGTCACAGGCACTAGCCCCCTCCGTTCTTGGCAGTTTTCACCTCACCCCTTCCCAGCAGGGCACGCTGGCCGAAGGGTGCTGGCCCGGGAAGAAACAAGCCGGCTAGGTCCAGGGTAGCTCCGTTAGCCAGTGTGGAGTCATTAGTCTGGAACAGTTGGGCCAGGCAGCTTCGCACAGTGTAGACATGGTGTGAGAGCGTACAGCCAGCGTGCCAGGACAAGAACAGTGTGTGTGTGTGTGTGTGTGTGTGTCTGTCTGTCTGTCTGTCTGTGTCCATGTGAGAGAAACCTCCTGGAGTGTGTGTGTGAAACCTCATGTGTGTCCGAGCAAGAGAGAAACCTCCTACAGTGTCGGGGTGTGTGTTGTGGGTATGAAACATATATGTGTGTGTGTGTGTGTGTGTGTATAATGTCATGTGTATGACTTTCTCCCACATGTCCATGTGAGTGTGAAACAACATATGCATGTGCGAAGCCTCCTTGTGTGTCCATGTGCGTGTGAAACCTCATCTGTATGTCTGTCCATCCATGGGGGGGTAACTTCCTGTGTCCATAGGAGTGTGTGTGTGTGTGTGTGTGATAACTCCATGGGAGTGTGTGTATGTCTCTCTGTGAGTGTGTGCCTGAAACCTCGTATGTGTGAGAAACTTCCTGCCATGTGTACAGGTGTGGGGATGCAAATCCTGTGTGTGTAAATTTCCTTTTGTGTGTGTGTGTCAGGAACACCTTTGACGTGTGTGTGAAACCTTATGTATATGTGAAACCTCCTCCAGTGTATGCATGTGAAATCTCTTGTGCGAGAAACCTCCCAAGTTTGTGTGTGAGAGAGAGAGAGAGAGAAACCTCCCAAGTGTGTGTGTGTGTGTGTGTGTGTGTGTGTGAGAGAGAGAGAGAGAGAGAGAGAAACCTCCCAAGTTTGCGTGTGCTGTGAAATCTCTGTGTATATGAGAGAAACTGCCTCCTGTGTTTTTGGGTGACGTCGGGTTGCCAGCGTTGGCTGGACATGTTCCTGGAGGTTTTATCACATGACACGATCTTTAGTTAAAGATCTATCTTTATGTCCCCAGACTCCAGCACAGTCCAGG